ACCCCCCCCCCCCCCCCGGTAATGGACAACTTTTCTCTTTCCTATGAAACCGGTGCCGAACCCACTCAGACGGTACAGCTGTAGAACTGCAGCTGTACCGCAGAGCGCAGAGCTGCGAGCAGGGGGCAACACAGAGAATCGGATACAGAACCAGCGGGACTGCGCGGATTCATCCAGAACGCACCGCCATTCGAAGAAAACTCTCCCGCCGTTTTCAATTTTCAACCATTACTGCCTGACCTCTCCCGCTCATCTCCCACCTCCCACGCCCCACGCCCCCCAAGCCCACAGGGCGGACTACGCCCAGCAGGAGGAGGAGAGAGAACAAGAGAGAGAGGCGGAGAGTCGTTCGAATCGGGAAGTGAGCGAAGAGGGTGCGCATTTCAGGCAGCGTGGCGGCGGCGGGGGGGGGTAAACTGGATGCCTTTCCAGAGACAAGGCGGGACCGTCAGGACCGTTCCAGGGAATGGGCGAATTTCCTGGCAATCGTGAGTACTTCGACTTCGACGTATTTATTTCTGAAATATTGATACTATTTCTGAGGACAATGTTGGGTAGCGGGTGCTTACCGTCAGAGGTTGTGGCCAAGTAGAGAGCCCCTTGATTGTCCTCCTTAACCGTCATGAGGCCAACATGATTGTCAGGAAAGATGAAACTCCACACGATCCGCAGAAAAATCCCTTCCTTCAGCCCGTCAGCGAGCGCGACATACTCCGCTTCAGTAGAAGACAAGGTGACACTGCGCTGCGTGCGGGACAGATACGAGACACATCTGCCCGCACACATCGCCACCGCGCCAGAGACCGACCGCCGGTCGGTAGCCGTGCTAGCGAAATCCGAATCCACATACAGCTCCAACTCAACGCCACCCGCCGTGCCACGTGAAAAGGTAATGCCGTAACTCGCAGTAGACCGAACATACATCAAAACATGCAACGCTGCATGCCAGTGCAACATTTTGGGAGCATGAGCGTATCGTGCCACGGCCCGCATCGCGTTGAGGATATTCGGGCGCGTCTGACTAGCCAACCACACCAGGTGCCCCACAAGGGATCGGAAAGGCTCGTCAACATCAGGCTCAGCAGGGTCGGACTCGTCTAACTGAAAGCCAAAAGCCATGAGGGTTGACTTGTTCTGTATCACATCGAGTTTCGCTACCATCTTCTCTGCCACCGCTTGTTGCGAAATGGCGAGGGTTCCCTGCTCTACATGTATATCACGCGAAAACCGGCAACCGGCGTACCACCGGAGCTCGCCAAGATTGGAGATGGGCACGTACTTGATGAGGTCAGCACCAAACTGGTCACACCTACCCTTGCGCCCAATCGAGGGGATGTCATCCACATGCACGACAACGACCATAGTCACGGCTCTATGCTCTACAAGTCGCATCACACAGGCATCAGCTAGGCATTGCTCAAAGTGAACACGTTTCATGCCGCGAACGAGATGCTGGTGCCATGTACGGGACGCCTGCTTCAAACCGTAAAGGCAAGGCGCAAGCTTCACTACCTTGTGCGAAAGAGACCACAATCAGCCGGCAAGCGAACAACCACCTCCTCCTCAAGATCAGACTGCACAACGCTTGTTCGGCATCAAAGTGGCGCAAATCCCAACCCAACTCGCAGGCAGTAGCAGCAAGCAAGCGAATGCTAGTGACAGATGGACACGGGAAAAAATTATCAAAAAAATCCACACCTTCACGTTGTCCGAACCCGGGTGCTACCAGCCGTGCCTTCGCGCGTACGGCAATGCCGAACTCGTCTCGGTTCCAGGCGTTCACGTATTTCGCCGAGATGGTGTTGGTCCCTCGCTGCTATGCCCCCTCCGGCTCCACGAACGTCCCCGCCGCAGACAATCCATCGAACTCCTTCTCCTCCGCATGCGTCCAGATGTGGCTGTGAGGCCCAGAATGCGCTTGCGCGTATGTGGCCGGCGTCTCAAGGTCGCATGCCCGTTCTGTGGGAAGGGGCGGCGCCGGGCGTACCTCGTCGCGAAGGTCGTCAACGGTCCGCGTTTCCGTCGCAAGGAGAGCAAAGGTCCCAAGACCCGAAGGGGTGCGTTTGGCACTGGATCGTGTGACTGCGGGCGTTGCCTTGTACTTACCCCGCCGCCTCTACACGGGCACACCCATGTCCTGCTCATGCACTAGGCGGTCCCAGATCTACACCACCGGCGGCGCCGCCCCATCGCTCCATTCCCTCGACACCTCATCCCCGTCCCCGATCCACGAAAGCTCATCCCCAACCTGATCCGATCCGGCTTCCTCCGCTGCTCCGCCGCTCTGACCGGCGCGCCCAGCCGTTGCTTCTACCGACGGGGCAAAGGAAACACGACCGCCAGGCGCCTCCGGTGTCGCCGCTCCACCGCTACCACCGGAGCGCCCAGCCGTTGCCTCTACTGACGGGGCAAAGAAAACACGACCGCCAGGCGTCTCCACAGACAGCGTCCTCGCTCCAGTATTCCCGGCGGCAAGAGCGCGGCCGGGGGAAGATGACGTTGGGGCGGCCCCGGCGGCATAGGCGCTGCCAGGGTGTGGTGTCGCCGCTCCCGCTCCCGTATCCCCGGCGGCAAGACCGCGGCCGAGGGAAGATGACGTAGGCGAGGCCCCGGCGGCATAGGCGCTGTCGGGGCTTGGTGTTGCCGCTCCAGCTCCCGTATCCTGATCTCCCGATATCTCCGGCGATGCCCACGGCATTGAATACTGCACAGCACCAGAACCCCACGTGGGCACCTCTCCCACGAACGGGTGTCGCCTGTAGCCGAAAGTGACGTGAGATGAATACGCCACTAGTCCAGACGGCAGGAGAACCTTGTTCGTGCGGGGGGAGTGGTCAATCTCGTTGTTCAGGTAGACAACCCGTCGGCCCTTGCTGACCATCTTTTTCGCGCGATCGTGGTGACGAAAGCCAGGCATCATGTACCATTGCACGAGGTTGGTCCGGCGAGCACCCCACGTCTTGAACTCGGGGCTCCGAGTGCCCTTCTTCCGCGCTTCCGCCGACGTGTTCACCGCATCGTTCATCCATGTTACGATCTCCGGCCACATCGCTTGGTAGGACTTGGCACGCGCGGGAAACTCCACCCCGGGGAAAAGATTCGGGTATCTACCCCAAGCCGCTCGCCCTCCGTCCATCGCCAAGGCAATCCGCCGCTCCACGTGCCCATTGTTATTGACGCCATCAGCCGATGTAGATTCGGCGGTGATGTTGAAATCCCGAAGGAGCGCTCGGAAGTCGGAGTTGATGAACTCGGTGCCGTTGTCCATGAGGGCGTACTCTACCGCACCGTGTTTCTCGATCAGCGGTTTGATAGAGGTGTGCCACGATCGAAACGCGTTGGCGACGGTGCCTTGCCCCACAAAAACATCACCCACCCGTAGGTGGTGTTGGCGTTGATGATCATCAGGAGGTATTGGGAACCACATTTAACAAGGTCTTGAGTCGACCTTCTGCCCACAGGCACCAGAATGTCCCCGAAATCGCACAAGAGCCGTACAGTGCTCAGCCCTGTGACCATTCCTACCGCCCCGGCTACACGATAAAGCCATCCCATCGGCTTGCCTGGAGAGGGGGGGGATTCCGGTGGATAGTATCTGGCGTTTCTACCACAGTCGAGCATACCTCCTGCGCCAAACCGCACATTGCGGACCTCACTAGGATTTCCACTGCGGTACTGCGGTTGCTGCTGCTGCTGCTGCTGGCTCCCACCACCTCGAGCCATGTACGGGTGCTGCGGTATGAAACACTCGCGGGGCCCCCACTGCTGACCCATTTGACCTTGCTGCTGCCGCAAAGCCCACTGCGCCCCCCCCCGACCTTGCTGTTGCTGATAGTTCGACTGCTGCTGTCTGTCGGGGATGTCCTTAGTTGGAGGCATACATGCCGCCGCCCTGTTGACGGCCACCGCTACCTCCCGCGCGCATACCTTGTTGCGTATCTCCCCCAGCGAGAAGCGCATGCGGGTTGCTCTGCGCCGTGGGTGCAGAAGGCGCGGCTGCCGGCGTTGTCACAGTAGACGCCGCTTTGGGATGCATGAATCATGTCCACGCCGCCAGGAATAGGACCTCTGGATAATCTCCTCTACCCGTTGTCTCGAAAGGCCCGGTTCAGAAAGGGTTGAGTATTTCTCGGTGTCGTACTTTTCCGGAAGTTGAATGATGATTCGCGAATTCCTGGTGGAGTTTCAGCAGGCGGGCGAGGCCCGGTCGAGCCTCCAAAGCCGCACGACACCCAAGAAGAAGATGCAGGAGCTGCCTCGCGTTCGCCTTGCTTTTGGCGACCCAACGCTGGAGTCGTTTCGTTTTTCCTGCACCATCGGTATCGCCGCGGAGGTTTGTCAGGCGTCTCCCGGCCTTGCCGGCCTTCTTCTTCTTCTCGATCTCCTTTTTCGCGTGCTGCAGGAGATCGATCGCTTGTCTCTTTTCGTCGGGCGCCGTCGTGGTGCCACAAAGCCGGCCAGTGGCACGGTGAGCTACGTGGCTTGGATGCCTGGAGTTGGTGGCGAAGTGGCCGCACTTGCCACCACCGCTTCTGCCACCTCCGCCGTTGGAGTCCGCGGCGGGCGTACTGAGCTTGACGACCGCGACGAACAGCATCACAAGTGCCCCACCTGCTGCACGACCCCGGCCGGTGTGCCTTTCAGGGCGTGCAGAAGGTCGCGGAGCTGCTTCGAGGATGGGCCTTGGGCAGTCTCGCCGGGGAGGCCGACCCTGCCGCCGACGTCGACCTTCTTCGCTGCCCTGGTGCCATGAGCCATGTGTGACATATTTCCTTTGTTATTTCTTTCCGGGTGGATAGCAAAGGAAGCAAAGGGGTTGGGATCACGCGGAAGAATACAAGTTAAGCTCCAACCCAACGGTCGCCAAGAAATGAGACGTGTCAGGAGAAAGAAACTCTCGGTGAGCCAGGAAATCCTACGGAACGTTCGAATTCGGACGCAACCAATGCCAATAAGTGCTGCGAGTGCCTAAGGGTATGTCACTCCTATGTCTTGGAGTGAGTATTGTACCCTTTGTCGGAGGCAATCTCCGTAAGTGCGCCAAAGCCTCACCTCTCTTCTCGAAGTAGCGATTCGCTCGTAGTCGATTCGCTCGTAAATGATTCACTCGTAATCGATTCCGGTGTGGAGTCGATTTGCGGGAGAAGAAGACTTGTGAGGTGCGTCCTCCGCAGAAAAAAGGGCAGCACCGCTGGATACTCATGTTGGTGACCAACTGTTGAACCGAGCAAAACTGTTGTGCTGTTTGATGCTTCATTGAACCGAACAAAACCGCCAGATGCCTGCTTGAAGAGATTGTTTTTCTCCGCCAAAAGTGCTGACGTTGGTTGTATTATTCCATTGCCCCGTTCGAGGGATGTCAGAGACGGGGCCGTTGAGACCATCCGGCGGACCTGTCACACTGGTGATTTTTCCTGCACGAATTGAAAATCGTGCAAAACAGTATTCATGCTCCATCGTAACTGGCCAGTCTCTCCCATAGAATTCAACGTCCCGTTTGAATGGTAGCAGGTGCAGGCCGACGAGGCACACCAAACGCGTCCGATGCGATGTGACGCGAGCCAGAAACGTTGCCCGACGCGTACTACAGTAGCTTTGGGAGCAACAAGGAAAACGTTTTGCGCTGCAATGAGCGTTGTCCGCACGTGCGAAGGGCCCGCCCGACTTACTGTAGCTCCAACACACAAAAAAGCAGATGGCCACGCTGCCAACCTAGGAGAGAATGGGTAGTCCAGCAGCCCAATCCACATGCGGACACGCGAGGTGCACGTGCACTGTAAACGATGATTTGGTCCCTGCGTTGTATCCTGAAACCTCACGTGTGTGGTCGTTTCGCTCGTCAAGGAACGGCCTATGATTTGTTGCATGTCAGCGGGGACATCGTCACAACCACATAGGAACTTGTAGGTAGCCTGTGCAGCGGAGCACATTTCCGTGGTTGTTGGCCCACTGCCGCAAATACGTCCGTCTGTGTAGGCGCCAACAACGGCTCCTCTCACAGCCGGTGCACACTACTGTACAGCAGAAGCACAGACAGTACGTGGTCAACGCACAATAAACAATAAACGCAAACAACGATTCAACGATCGATCAGTTTCAGATCGAATCGGAACTTCTCCGGGTTCTCCAGTACCCAGAACCCATGTATAGATGCGAGGCTACGCCGCGTTGCCTGTAGAGAGAGGCGGACGTGTTACACATTGTTGAATATGTCGTGGATCAGGGCAAGTTCGGTCACACTGATGCTGGTGGGTTCGCTGGCAGGCGGGGCAACATATGAGGGCGCCTTCGTTTCGGTGCGAGGTTCTGGGGGCCTTCGGCGATGTCGATCAGGCACATGCATCACCAACGATGTCTGGGGTGGGTTCAGGGGCAGCGAGAGGGCTGTTGCTGCTAGAAGGCTTGGCCCCACGCTTGTCGCGGTAGCAATCCCCGTGATTGCACCAAATGTTGCTTTATTGCTCAGACGCTTGCTGGGGTTGATCTTGGCTGTTTGCGCGCCAACACGAAGAAACATGTTGCTGACTCTTTCACATACTGCCGTCGCCGCAGAAGGAACGGCACAGGGGCAGGATGCTGCGCTTCAGCACACAGATACTCTGGCATCACTGTAGACCCGATGAGGAAAGTTTGATCTCACTCTTTGGGCATGATGAGTGCGCGGTTTGCTGGACTGACCGACCGTTGCTGCAGCACAGGTGCAGTTCCGTGTTCCGTGTGCAAGGTCTGAGAGTTGGCAAATGCAACTTGATGTTGCAGTCTAACGGCCGTGGACGCAACGGTGACCAATCGACGACAAAGATACACTGCCGGCCCGCACCGGTTTCGGACTGTCGATAGACTTCGAGAACGCGAGAAAATAGGCTGTTGATCTGGTTTCCGATGTGTGTGCTGGTTTGTTTTCGCCTTTTCTAGCTCGAGCGTACACCTTCCGACGCCCTCGAAGCCCAACCAGCGATCCTAGCACGTTGAAACGTTGCACCGGTAGCAGATAACTTGGACACTGGAGTCGAGGCTGAGCAAAGGATGCAGCCTTTTTTTATCGTGTCAACATATCCACGTAACAATCCACGATAGGCTTCAATCGTTCGAATGGCCACACAAAGCGCTCCTCTCACCTGCTGTGGACCCACCGCCAGAAACAAACAGCAGCCAGTCGGTCTTCGCATCGCCACACACAGAGAGCTCGCGCGAAAGTGACGCAGAACAACCGCATAGCCACCGTTCTGAACCACGTAGCATCGCTTCCACGAAAACATCACGCACGTTTTCCCCTTCTGTTTTGGTCCGCCCCCCTTCCAACCCCAGTGACATCCCCATACAAGCACTGATCTCTCCATAGTGGCGTGGAGAGGGGGGTGCTTCTCCGGAGAAGCGTCAACCACGTCGGCCTCTGATCGATTCAAGAGACTTCCACCTTAGTGGGGCAAGAAATACCAAACGTAAGCATTCCTACTGTAGTCTACTGGCGTCCCTGACAAATATGCTTTGTGTTTCTGCCCTCGGGAAGCAGATATAGGAGAGACGCGGGCGCTGGCGGCGACGAAGGGGTTCGGCGGCGTCGAGAAGAACGCCCCCAAGAAAACGAAGGTTGTCAAGGGGGTGGTGGCGAAGCGGGCTGCAAAAGCAAGCGCGGTCGTTTCGAGTGGTTTCGCATACACGGGCTCGCTCCGGCCAGGGGTTCAGAGCCCACGGAGGACGGTGAGAGAACTGCTTGCCTTTTTTTTCGTTTGTGAGTCGGGCGGATCCCCCGAAAGATTGGCTGAATGCAGATTTGTATCTTTCTTCTCGGTTGGTTGGGCTATTCGAGAAGACGACACGCCAGTTGTGTGAGCTGTTGAGCTTGGGGAATATCGCAAGTGTCAGCGTGGTAGAAAGCCGTGGGCTAGTCCTGCTTTTTGCTCTCTCTTTCTCTCGTGTTACATCGCCCCTTTTGATGACAATGTGCTCTCACTAGCCCACGGAGGGATCCGGAAAGTAAGTATTCTCACGGCATGCCCAAAAACCCTTTTTTTTTTAGCACGCTCATCAGCAGCGTCCACAAAGAGCAGCAAAGGTCCACTGGGACCAGTTCCTCCTATCCGGGACCAAACGTGTCGCGTCTTGAAAACAGGTGCAGCGTATGCATGGAACCAGTCAATGTTCGATTATGCTACCGTACCTTGTCCACAGGTGCCTCCAGAGATTGGCCGCCCGGACTACGCCGAGGACGGCATGCCCAAGGGCGGAAGCCCGCCGCCGGCCTGGGTGATAGAGGTCAAGACGGAGGAGGACATAGCCGGAATGAGAGCGGCCGGAAAAGTCGCGAGGTGCGTGTATAGGCAATAGGGTTAGGATCCAAAGTTTCTGCAGCAGCCGACCAGAGATTAGTGACGCATGGTGTGCAGCAAGAAAGCACACACGGCGAGGGTGGGGACGTCTGCGCTACGGAACCCCTGCTCAACAGCGCTAAACACAGACACCTCTGATCTATTACTCCCTTGGAGGGGGTGCGTAAAGTAGCGATGATCGTTGGATTCGGCATGAAAAATAATCTAGGTGTGCACGTGACGTTCTCTGTCTGCTTTCTATTGTCATCCGTTTGTTATGAAGAACAGGGTCGGGTTATGTAGGAACGTTTCACGTTCTTGGACTGGCTGGTAAGGGTTAAAAGAGGCACGTGGGCATTCGACGAGTCCCTCTTTTCGCTTCACTTTTGCGCTTGACTCTGTCGTGTGTGACCGCTCTCTCGCTCTCTCTCTCTCTCTCTCTCTCTCTCTCTCTCTCTCTCTC